TGTGGTCCACCCCACTTGTCGGTTCTTACCTGGTCCCCTCACCTCCAGTTTCTTGCCTGCCACAACTTTGATGTTACTCTGTTGGTTGTTGGGGAAACAGTCCCTGAGGCTGTGTGTAACCTCATGGGTCCTGGTCTGCCTGGTCAGGTTAGCCCCTTTGGGGTCTTTGCTTTCTCTCTGATATTTCCCCTGTAAGGGGGTGGTCACATAGGATTCTGGGCACTTGTCAGGGTTTCAGCTGTTGCAGCCTCAGACCCTTTTCATTTTGAACTTACCCACTGCTTTGGCCTATTTTTCAAGTCCTCAGCCTTTGGGCATCCTTAATGGACCCCCCCCCCCCTCTTTCTTGGGGGTCCACTTTTAGCTTGCTAGTCTCTGCCCCTCTGGCTTCAGCTGACTTCTGGTACCTATTACAGGAAAGTGCCCTCAGGTACCTCTGCCCATGGTCTCTTCCACCCCTATCACCACAACCTGGTCTTCCAGTTACAAGTCCAAAATGGAACAGCAAAACCCCCCCCCCAAAAACCCACAAACCAGCTGCTTCATAATGGATAGTCTCCCTCCCTCAGGATAAAGTATTAGCCACCTTTCATCAGAGCCTTCTCACCTGTGGCTTGGGCAGCTTGTGAAAGCCTCCAGTAGCTCCTTTCTCTTAGGCTCCTCTCCCTGCTACAAAAAGCTTCCCCCCAGGTCCCCCCCCCCCCCCAAAAAACCCCCCCCCCCGGGCCCCCCCCCCCCCAAAAAAAGCAACCTGCTCAGAGACTGGGGTTATATCTCCCAGCCCAACCTCTTTCCCATCACATGACTAGACTTTCTGCTGCTCTTCCCTAGGGCTAGGTGTTGCTAAGTGCTTCACTAGCTGTCTGGCCTTTTAAACCTTGGTTCAGTTTATGTGGACCACTGTACTAGTTGTCCTGCCTGACCCCTGGTTTCCTACCTATTCAGGCTTTCCTAGTAACAGGTAGGGGGTTCCCTGTTATAAATGCACAGAAGAGACAAGCATAGACACATTGGGGATGCATCCAGACATACGTAGATATTTGGTTCCCATGGGACAAGTAGCAGCGGCATACCTTGTGCTGACACTATTTGTCCCCGGAGAACACCCATGCCATGTGCGCTTTGGCATGCAGCAAGTTGCCCTGGGTGGGGTAGGGGAGGCTGGGGCCAGCACTGCGGGATAAAACAAATCATATACTAAAAATCAAACATCTACTATAAAATATTTTTAAAAAAACCAAACGAACTCAGAGCAATGCATGTTTTAATGAGCTGTTATGAGTTACATAACTTACAGATGGTCTGGGTGGAGTGTGTGCATGTGTGTGCGCATGCGTGTGTGTGTCCATTCTGTCTCCTGCGTCCATCCGTCCTGTGTGTCTGTGCCTTGTGTGTGTGTGTGTCTGTCCTGTTTACCCTGTATGTGTTCATCCTGTATGTGCCTGTCCTGTGTATGTGTGCAGTGAGGTGGATTCCAATAAGTCTGAGCCCCTTCTCTGGAACTTCACCTGGGCCCCACAGGCAACTCCCTTGCCCTGTCAGGGTCCTACCCTGTTATCTCACCTGCCACATCTTGATGTTGTAATTCAAAAGGGAGGCTGCACCTAAAGGGAAAAAGAGGTTTGGGGTGATAGGCCCTTGCCTGGTTGGGGTCACCATGGCCCTGCTCAAGTTTACTCTAGCTGCACCTGGCTAGCTCTGGGTCCACTATCCAGGACCACAGGCTTCCACTGCAGCAGAATGTGTCCTGGCTCAAGGCCATCAACCTCGGGTTGGGCTGTCCTCTCTGTCTCAGTTAGCGCCTTTCCATTAAGTTTACAGATAGTCCATCACCTGTCCTCCGTGACAGCTGGAGCCAAGCCAAGCCAAGCCAAGCCAAGCTGACAGTCTGTTTCTCAGTCTCTAGTCCTCTGCATCTCGTATATGCTTAGGATTCGGAACACCTCTCATGTGTCCCCTTTCCATGACCCCTTAGCCACCGTCAGCCCACCAGGTCAAGGACCACCTGTTTGGGGCATTGACTCGATTCAAAAAACCCAAAAGGATACCCTGTCATGGGTTAGCATCACCCTGGGCTGATCTCATTAAATCCCCCACAAAATAAAAAAAAGTGCACATTGCAACTTATCTTGCTCCTAGTTGCAGTGTGGTTGGCCACCTTCATCAGATTACCATCCGAGCCCACTTCTCCTGCTTCTGCTTCCCATTTCCCCTTCATTTTCTCCACCCAGGAGTTAGCTTCCTCTTGCACTTCCTCCTCTCTGGTCCAGGGCCAGGCTCCTTTTTGAGAGCACCTGGTCACCTGACCCTTGAACCTTGGGTCTTCCAGAGTCCTTGGGTCACCCATGCCAGGCGGCTTTCTGCCTCTTGTCCTGGCAACCTGCCAGTGAGCTGCAGTACATATCCCACAGAGGCATCAAAGGAAGGTGCATGTGTGTAATGGAAGGGCCACTGGGGGTAGCAGAGGGGTGTGTATATAGATGTTGGGGAGGGAAGGAGGCGGCAGACATATGGAGTCACCCAATGGGGAAAAGAGGGAGCTGGGAAAAAGAGGGGAGCCGCATGAGGTGCACGCGTAAAGGAAATCCTGAGCACCCCAGCCCCTTTAGTAATGGGGTAGGGGCTCTGTTGCAATATGTCTGTCCTATGTATCCTGTGTGTCCCTGTGTCCATTCTGTTTATTCTGTTTGTCCGCCCTGTGTCCTGTGTTTGTCCCGTGTTTTTCCTGTGTGTGTCTGTCCTGTGTGCATCCTGTTTATTCTGTGTGTGTCCATCCTGTGTGTCTTGTATATGTCTGTCCTGTGCATTTTGTGTCCATACTGTGTGTGTGTGTGTGTCTGTCCTGTGTCTTTTGTGTGCATCTGCCTGTTCGTCTCCCCACGCCCTCCCTGCAGCTGTGTTCTAAGGCTGCAAATACTGCAATACCAGCAGACAATCAGTGTCCCAGGATAACAAAGTTGAGCCCAGGGCTGCAGCTGCCTGGTGCCAACGAGCCAGAACAAAGGGGCCTGGTTACCTGCACCCACAGCCAGCCATACACAGGTGCCCAGGCACCATCTCTCACCCCCTGCCCCATCCCAGCCAGGGCCTGGGAGTGGTGGTGCCTCTCATCTCTGTGCAGCTGCAGTCCAGGAAGCAAGGCTAACTCGCCTCAGGCCCAGGGGACATGGCAAGACACGGGAGCCATCACTGCCCAGAGGCTTGCTTGCTGCTGCTGCTGCTTTCTGGTTCCCTACTGCTGCCATGTGTCACCCTGGAGAAATTCCTACACCTCCCCTCCTCTCCTAGGTTTGTGCCCTCCGGAGTCACTGCGGGGCATTTTGGGACCTTTCAGCGGGGTGAGGGCAGGCAGAGTAGTTTCATTCATACTTTTCTTCCCCTCCCAGCCTGGGTACCCTTAGAAACCATCCTCTTAGCCTCCTTACCCCTGTACCCCCTGTGAGTCCCTGGTGTGGGGAGAGGGCAGGAGCCTAGCCAGGAGCTTCCAGCTTCTTGTCCCCAGTGCCTCCTGCTGAGAGGGGTGGCTGCCAGGACCCTGAAGCCAGAGCTGCTGCTGCTGCAGCTGGAACCTACTTCATGGGGGAGGGAGGAGGGGAGAGTGCCGGCTTTCACAGTGGCAACTGTGGGCCAGGTGGAATCATTTGGTGGGCTGGATCTGGCCCGCAAGCCATATTTTGCCCACCCCTGCTCCATACTTTTGGGATCAAGAGCACTCAGTCCTCCTCTAAGTTAGCACTGGCAGAAGCCCCACTAAACTTTTGCACAGAAATCTAGTGCCTAGAGCACACCCCAAGAAATAAAGGACCTGAGTTCTAGGCCTTCATCAGCCTGAGGGGATTCAAACCTATATCCTCCTCCTCCCAGGAGAGTAACTTAAAAATTAGAATGGGTAAATTAAACTGAGTGAGGGCACTTTCCCCTTCTCCTGTTAAAGAAGCTAGGCCAGCAAAAAGTCACGGGGACAGAAAGAAAGGAAACAAAAACGGAGCTTGACTTTGTAATACACGATGAGGAGCCTTGCTCCTAGCATGTTCTTTTCCTGTTTAGTATCCAACGAATGTTTGATATAAAACACGCGTAAACAGTCCTGGTAGCAGGAAGCAGAACACAACAGAACTGTCTGCAGAATAAAGGCCTTCTCATTGTGAATAAGGCTATCAGAAGCTGGTCCTAATAAATAAGGATAAGCTATTGGATACTTAGTTAGGATTATATTGTCCAGCCCTAATTCATGCTGGTCAGCCTCTATTCACATAATTAGACTTGTTGAAGTGTATTAAAGTTTTACAACCAGCTCTGGGTTAGTTTCCTAAATCCTGAACTACTACATTCAATCTATTTTAATGTGACCAATTTTATTCTTGGCAGGATGCATCCGTTTGGTATATTATAAAAAAAGTTAGCCTATGAATATGCAGACACTCACAACTGACAAAGGGAAGAGCCAAAACAGATTGCTTTTGCTTGTGAGAGGATGGTTAGCACTATTCAGCATATGGCCAATTGAGAAAGTACTTGTCTTCCTACAAGTCCACAGACAGGTTTCTTGATACTTAAAATATCAACTTTTTTTTATTTAAAAGCTTCAATGCTGCCTAATATATGTGGAAGACTATATTGGTAAAAGTGCACCTTTAAAGTATATACATGTGTTACATTTAGATTGACCTAACCATGGTTAAGTCCATCAAAATGCCTTGGAATGCAGGTGTTCCCAGAGCTTAAATCAGCCCAAAATGGTGACCTAATTTAAGATTAATTTGGATCTAAAACGGGCAAACTCCTGCACATCTACACAGTGCAGGCCAGGGCTGGGAAAGCCAAGACATAAGACCCAGCCCCAGGGCTATGCTGTTCCTACCCCTCTCCTCCCTGACATTGACTGAGTTATTTTTAGCCCCTGACTGTCCACCCTGGATCAGCCATCCCCACACTGTGGCTCCATCAGCCCCCTGCCATGGATCCGTAAACCTCTCCACCTGTCCCCACAAGTTACTTACCTCAGGCTGCCCATGCTGCTTCCAGAAGCAATGACCAATTGCATGTACCACTTCTGGTTTAGGTTTAGGCAGCTTAAAGTTTGTCTTTCACAGGGATCCTGCTGCTTCTGCCTTGATAGAAATGGCTTCTCTTCTCCTTTACTCCATCCAGCATGATTAAATGATTCCAGGCATCCCTTCTCCCTGCTGCTGCTCCTATGGATCATGAGAAAAAATTTTCATGGAGTTCCCTTCCCCTCTCAACAACTGTACCCCCTGAAAAAGGACGTAGATAACCCTGCTGGACCCACCCAATCACTGGAGTGATCCTTTCTCAGCCCTCTGAAAGATCTGCGATTGGTGCAGTGTTCTATCTTTGGGGTTATCTTTCTGTCTTTGGTCCAAGTCAAATATCAGTTTGTTGTGTGATTAGATGTTTAAATCGGTCATTTCATTTCAAGCCTAAAAGTATGATCTCCTCTCTGCACATGTGGAGGGGGAACAGTCACTTTTTCTTAGTGAGAGGTGGCTAGCTGAGCTAGTCTAAAGTCAGGTAGAAGGTAAGGCAGGATGGTACCTTAGAGACTAGCTGGTTGAGAGATGCATGCACTTTTGTAGGTGACAGTCTACTTCATCAGATGCTTTGTTTCATAGCATTTGACAAAATAGGTTAGCATCTACAAAAGCTCGTGCCCTTCTGAACCATTTCGGCTCTAAGGTGCCACGTTGCCTGACTTTCTGCCTTTCCTTATAGCTTTTAGTCCTGTTGTCTAAGTATATTACAGACAGGATCTCATTTGATGGTCAGTTCATCCACAGAGATCAAAATATCATGAATTCCAGATCCAGTTACTTCTTGTGTGCCTTTTCCAGACTCCTTCAACAATGTGCAAGGCTCTTGGTTTTGCTCAGTTCATTTTCTCTGATGTTGAACTTTCAGAACTACTGCATCATCTAGTACAGGCAAGAACTCTACCCTGAACAAGATTAGAGCAATATTGGAAATACTTGTTTTCACATGCTGTTAAAAATTAGGAACAAAGTATACCAGCACTTCAGGTGTTACTCACTTAATGTTTATAAAAAGAAAGGCATGATGAACAGAAAAAAAAGTATTTTATAGCATAAGCCCAAGATGGAGCCACAACACTCAGCAAAATCATGTTAAGTGTCCTTTGCTAGAAATATTTTCACCTTTCTCTTAAAAAATATGCTGAGTACACTAACAATACACATTAATATTGTGTAATATTGAAATGGGTGGGAAAGTGATTAATAAATTTTTCCCATTATTATTTTAGTGAGCTATAGGGATAAGTTATCCCAAAAACTCTCCTTCAGTTTTGTGGCAAAACTTCACTAAATGGATGCTGCCTATTTCCTTAACCTTATCACTTCGCTTTAACGCTTACCTGCTAATAAGGCCTAGATGCGTGTGCGCGCGCGCGCGCGCACACACACACACACACACACACTCGTCAAAGCTGTGTTTCAGTTTTTTCAACTACTGCTTGTTACACGGAATATTAATCAGTCTCCCTGTTTTTCACAGGACACAACTGCATTCATAAGACTTATATTTGCATCTTTGTGGTCACCCATTCAACAGACAAAAATAAGAAAGAACTTTTCTGGTGATGAAGTTAACTGTTTTTGCGTACATATGTACTAAGTATTCTATCCTACCATTTAGTCGTTCCTCAAGAGTCTAAATATCAGCTAGATGACATGTAATAATTAACATAAATTAGACACTCCTTGTGATTCCTTTTTATGTAAAAACCAGAGACCAGCTTATGTATACAAAAATGTACGGAATTCACTCACCTTGGGACATTAGGTCAAGCATCTGTTTACTGCAGAATATCACATTTAAGCCTGCTTGATCTTTATCTGAGAGGTAGGATAACTGTTTGCATGGAATCCATAGGTATCCCCTTTAACAGCATTTGATAGATTCAGTGCTTGTAAAGTTGAATGATAAAGAGTTCACAAGAGTAGGGTAATCACATTCTCTGAAATGACTTCTGTGACTCAAAGAATAAACAAGCTGAAAACATTGATGAAAGCCTCTTCTAGGAACATGTTTGAATTATATCAAATTTCTTCCATTTGTATTAAGAACAAATGCTAATAACTAGTAAAACAATTCACTATATGAAACAGACACTTAGAAAAATGTGCAAAAGGAAGGATAGAATATTCAGTAAACCCATTAACTTAGTGCCCCAGAGGTCTAAGTCACAAACTTTTCCTCCATTAAGCAGGGAAGGAACGGCATGCTTGATTGTGACAAATAGGGATTAATTCACTTGGATATGTTAACAAGCCTATGAATCTCTCTATGGACCCCTTGTTTTGAGGTCATTCCCTTTGTACAAAGTGGCTCATTGCAAAGACTATTTGCAACTTACGCTGAGAACTACACATCTTTATTATATGCATAACATTGCACTCTTTATAATGGACACAGCCTCTTACCTCTATCTTTATTGCACACAGATGACTTTTTGCTGTATGCTTATTTTTATACTCTGTGTTTGCCTTGCTTTGCATTTTATTAGCTGTACTTCTGTTCTTTCACTGCTTTCATTTAGGGGAATATTTTAATATCCAGCTTTGACTTGATTTGATCTGTTATTATTTACTCTTTTAATTGCAACCATTTCCTCCAGTTTCATAGTTTCAGGGTCGGAAGGGACCTAATAGATCTTCTAGCCCGACCCCCCGCCAGGGCGGGAGAACAACCCAAAAAAA